TGCACTTGTTCCTAATAGCTTCTTGTTACTACTAGTAAGGCACTTGTTTCTACTTCTTTCTGTTCTCTTGTGAAGGCTCCACTGAAGAGGCGTCGTGGGAGAAGAAGACCAGTTGATAGATCTTTTCCACGGATGAACTCCATTTCAATTTAGTGGCTTCTTGTTTTGGCCTTGCTGGCTGCGCAGGGGATCACCTGCAAGGCAGTCGGGCCCTTGGCAAGGTTGGAGAACCATGTCAGAAGATGCGCTGGGATTGGCCTCATGGCCTTCTGAATGTAGAGAAGCTGAAGCAACCTGACCAGCACCCCCCAGAAACACCTACGAGGCCGTAGCTATTAGATGGGAGGCCATCGCTAGTAGGTTGGAGGCCATCGCTTATATAAAGCATATAGCTTTCCCAAATGTTTTAAGCAAAAACTGTTTGAGGCTTTGATCACTCGAGTACCAGAGTGGTGCCTCGATGTCGAACTCCGAAGGTGGCAAACCGAACACACCACGCAGCCTCCGATTCTCCTCCGGTCCAGGCGGCAATTGGAGGATTTGGCACCAGACCGGTCTCCTCAGGCGAAGTTCGAGGATGACCCGAAGTCGAATGTGTCGATCTTGACTTTTTCTTGGAGAGTTAGATCAAAAGCGCGGAGTAGCCAGAGAGTCGGGTCGGCCCCATCAGAAGACTTTAAAAGTCTTGGGGTCCACTGAGCCAACCAGATGCTTCAGCCAGGGTCTTCCCGATGCAACAACAGCTATGGCATCTACATCTCCTAGGTGCAACTGCTTCGCTGCTTCGTTTGGCGCATGCATCTACATGACCAGTCCGTTACACTCAATTACACCAGGGCCAAAGATCCCATAAACTCGCCTGTGGAGGCAAGGGGATGGGTGGGGAGGAAACACCATTTGCAAGAACCGGATCAATGGGTTTGACAAGGCAGTGGCTCATTTGCTTTGTAGATCTCTGTCCAAATGCATCTCCGACTTGAAGGAAAGCCGCTCACCTGCGGCCTATGCCAGAGCCGTTGTGCGCGCAGCCAAAGCGCAGGCCGAAGCCTGAGCCCGGCTGAGCCCCGAAGAACAGCTGGTCACTACCACTCACTACGCGATGGCCTCCAACCTAAAAGCGATGGCTTCCAACCTAATGGCAAAAGGAACCTACTAGCGATGGCCTCCAACCTAAAAGTGATGGCCTCCAACCTAATAGCAAGAGGAACCCACTAGCGATGGCCTCCAACCTAAGAGCAATGGCCTCCAACCTAAAAGCGATGGCCTCCAACCTCATAGCAAAAGGAACCTACTAGAGATGGCCTCCAACCTAAAAGCGATGGCCTCCAAGCTAATGGCCAAAGGATCCTACTAGCGATGGCCTCCAACCTGACCTAAAAGCGATGGCGTCCAACCTAACAGCAAAAGGAACCTACTAGCGATGGCCTCCAACCTAAGAGCGATGGCCTCCAACCTAAAAGCGATGGCCTCCAACCTCATAGCAAAAGGAACCTACTAGCGATGGCCTCCAACCTAAGAGCGATGGCCTCCAACCTAAAAGCGACGGCCTCCAAGCTAATGGCAAAAGGAACCTACTAGCGATGGCCTCCAACCTGACCAAAAACCGATGGCGTCCAACCTAAGAGCAAAAGGAACCTACTAGCGATGGCCTCCAACCTAAAAGCGATGGCCTCCAACCTAATAGCAAGAGGAACCCACTAGCGATGGCCTCCAACCTAAGAGCAATAGCCTCCAACCTAAATGCGATGGCCTCCAACCTCATAGCACAAGGAACCTACTAGCGATGGCCTCCAACCTAAAAGCGATGGCTTCCAACCTAATGGCAAAAGGAGCCCACTAGCGATGGCCTCCAACCTAAAAGCGATGGCTTCCAACCCAAGAGCAAAAGGAACCTACTAGCGATGGCCTCCAACCTAAAAGCGATGGCCTCCAACCTAATAGCTATAGGAACCTTTTAGTGATGGCCTCCAACCTAAGAGCGATGGCCTCCAACCTAATAGCAAAAGGAACCTACTAGCGATGGCCTCCAACCTAAGAGCGACGGCGTCCAACCTAAAAGCGATGGGCTCCAACCTAATAGCAACAGTAACCTACTAGCGATGGCCTCCAACCTAAGAGCAATGGCCTCCAACCTAATAGCAAAAGGAAGCTACTAGCGATGGCCTCTCTCCAACCCAAAAGGGCCTCCAACCTAATAGCACTAGGAAGCTTCTAGCGAGGGCCTCCAACCTACTAGCGATTGCCTACACGTTCATATTCTATCTACAGTACATGACTAATTTCTTATGACTGAGGTAAAACACACGCAAAGCTGCATGCTCGCTTCTCCCGCGAAAAGAAGAAGAACAACGGGAGCAGACCAAGAACGGACTGTTCAACCTGTGGTACTATCATGGGCAAAACTTATTGGCGGTGGTGAAGTGGCAGCAAGAACAGAAGCTGTGAGCACTGCAAAAACTGCAGTTTCCGAAATAGACCGTGACCTTGGGAGCTCTGTCCACCTGTGACTCGAGTTTGTGGGTGCAGCTGATGGGGAACTTCAGCCATGGGGGAACACACGAAAGCCTCTCAGACCGGGAAATTGGCTTTGGCCGA